ATCACGTTTTGATAACAATGTAAAAATAAAACGTTTTCGGTGGGTTCCTGTCCGGGTAGTTCTTTCAACCAACACCCTGATGGCTTTACTCTTGATACCTACCTAACTACTACAGCAAAAAGTCAATTTTAATGTGGCCAATAAAATATTGGTTCTCTACAAAATGTGCGCGGTCAAACTATTGAGAAGAAAAAATAATATCAATAGCAGAATGAACTTCCATTATCTCATTCAATGAAAACTATTGCGCAGAAAAACTCACAGTAGGAAGGTAAATCACGGAACAACGTAATGGAACTAATGCTAATGGAGCTAACGACAGTTTTTTTTACTGAAGCAAAAACAACGCCAAAACATACATTTGAAACCCAGTGGGATAGAGGGATAGGAATGAGATAAAAGATACATTCGAATAAAATCGCATCTCAGTTTCAAGTAGTTTCATGAACAAATTTAATGGTTATCGAGTTCTTAGGTTTTCGCGATTGTTACACATAGCAAATGAAACTATTATTTCTTATTTAAATTAAAAAACATCCTAATTTCAACAGGGAAGATGGTTTCTCCGTACCACCAGTTTGGCATCCAGTATTTCCTGTGATGAAAAATCCCAAACAGACATAAGACTGCAGTACTAATTAATATGTTTTAATTTATTTTAACTTCTATTATTAATTAACAAAAAATTTAACTTAATACAAATTCGTTCAATCAATCTCTCAGAGATATTCGGAATTTATGTGCGAAATTTAATTTGAAATTTATCATGAGCTCTTCGGTGAAGGAAAATATCGTGATGAAACCTGCACGTTGAAGAAGTTTCACAACTTTCGGAAAACGTTTGTAGTCCCCAACCCGCATTGTGCCTGAGAGGAGTCCCGTGTCCAGAAGTGGGGACATATAAAGGGTCAATATTGACTATATATTGAAAAAGAAACTATTCTTTCGGATCTATCATGCGAACATGTCATGGATAAACTTTTTTTTTTCATGGAAAACGTACACATTCAATTAAGTTTGACAAACCTTTGGTCCATTCAAAATAAATCCGTTTTCTACTTTTACATCCCAGGATGTAACGAGAGGCCAATAAAATATAAAACATTCTAATTTCAACAATTTCAACAGAGATGATGGTTTTTCTGTACCACTGCTTTGAGATCCAGTATTTCCACTCATGAAAAATCTCAAGCAGACGTTAGACTTCAGTGCCACTTATATCTAATTAATTATGTTTTAATTTTTTTTAAATAATACGTTTAATTTAGAGAAAACTTATATTGTGCAAAAAATATTTATGAAATTGCCGATTGCAAATACTGGGAAGTTTGAATTTCAATATCTTTCATTTTACTTAGAGACTGAGTTAATCAATGATATTTCTTTTAAAAATTCAGTTATTCATTTGTTTTTCTGCCGTTCGACTTTTCTTTGATATAACCAACGACTTCAATTACATAGATATGCAATTGATATTGGATTTAGCCAATGATCTATATACATGGGATCATTGGAATCAACTGTTTCCATGGAAAAATCTAAATTGCGTGTTGTTTTCGAATACAAGTTCTACCGTGGCACCAAGGCAGCACAAACGGCACGCAATGTCAACGATATGTATGGACCAGGTAGCGCATGGTGCCTTTTTGGTTTGTTCGCTTTCGTTCTACAAATTTTGATTTCAACTATAAGCCCCGTGGCGGAGCGGAAACGAAAGTCCATAACGATAAATTGTAAGCCATAGTGGAAGCAGATTCATCTCAAACCACGTCGTAATTAGCAGCAGCCTTCAACGTAAATGATAAAACGATATTGATTCATTTGCGTCAATTGGAATGATAACAAAGCTAAGAAAGTGAGTGCCGTACGAACTCACTGAACAACAACCACAAAATTGCGTCGAAGCTTGGCTTAACTTGTTGAATAGACTCAAATGAAGGGAGTCTAGATTGGATTGTCACATGTAATGAAAAGTGGATCTTGTGTGATAATCGAAAACGTTTGTCATACTGGTAGCCAAACCATCTCTCAAACGCAAGTCAAAAGAAGCTGCCTGTACAACTTCTTGAGACCTGGCACAACAATTACTGCAGAGGTGTACTATAAATAATTGCAAGTGATGATGGACAAGCTCGCTATCAAACAATCCAGACTTGTTAATTGCTCTAGGCCACTCCTCCACGACAACACTCGTCCACACACCACACATCGGACCGTTTCAAAACTACAGGAATTACGACTGAAAACTCTCCGTCACCCACCATATTCACAAGACCTTGCTGCAAACTGATTTTATTCGGAATTTGGATAATTTTTACAGGGAAAAAGTTTCAAATCGATGAGAGGCATAACATTTACATATTTACATAACGTATGGAATAACGTTTCCATCAAAAGTGGGGAAATTGTCTCTTGCTTAACTCATCATTAAGTGAATAAATACTACCCAACTTTTATTTCATTCATATAAGAACATTATTAAATGTTATATTTAATTTTCTGTTTTAGTGAATATTTACTTAAAAATACAAGTTGAAACGCTTTACTTTCTTGTGGAATGTGATGTTAGTATTTTGTTTGTATGACGTATTTTTACACTCATTTACCGCACTTTTCGTCATTTTCAGCTAAAATTCTTGAGCTGTTCACGGTGCAAGTTGACTTTGAAAACTGACGGCCCGCCCGCTCGTGTAAGCCTATTTGGGTCCCTACAATTTGCCTCACTTAGCGTGTGCAGACTAGTTTTCTATGCGTTATTATTCTAAGTATATGTATATATATTTTTTCCAATTCTGTGTAATACGGCAATTTCTTTATTATATTTTGAAAAATGTATGTAGCGTAAATTGTAATGTTCTTTCGTAAATTAATAAGGTATTTTTCGCAAACATGCTCGTAAATGTTTGCATTACTATCAAAAAACGAACACGGGTATTTTGTTATTTAGGGACCGTGCGACTTCTTCCCGGCCAAGGTCTGCAAAGTAACTATGAAAATCCAATGAGCGCTGATTATAGACCAACCGGCGGCGGCGGGCGCGTCGACGAAAAAGTGTCGGCGGTGGCGGCGTTTTGGCGGCGTGAGCGCGACCTTGAAACGAACTTATATAACGGTGTTTATTTTGACAAAAACTGGTATACAAATACTGTTTCACCTCACTAGCTCGGAAATACTTTCTTTCTGATTAGAAATTTGCGTTCAAAAGCGTTTATTGCACGCTAGCGTGGAAAAGGTTTTTAAAATTCGAACTTGACGATGGACTGTGGTCCACGTAACTTTTGCTTTCGATGAAAAAAAAAAGATAATGACACGTTGAACTACGCGATTTGTCGTACATTACCTATTTATGTAATTTAGATCCGTTGGTATATTTTATTCTTGTTATTTTTTTTATTTGACATTAATAAATAACAATGACATTTTGTGTTTATTATTTTAATTCGTCGAAGAACTAAAATAATTTCAATAATCATTTAATCGCTCAAAATAAAAAGTAGGTACAAACAAGAATAAAAATTGATGAGGTGTAAATTCAGAACGCATGCGCAGATAAACTTTTTCTTCTAAATTAAAAAAGGGATGTTTAACTGTTTCTCTTTCATCTACCATTTTCCTCGCTTTAGTGATGTGAAAAGTTGTGTTTTGCTCGGCAGCAAAGTTGTTTTGCGTCTCGTGCCTTGAAACCCGCGCTACGCTCTGGAATCTATTTTTGAACCACTACGAGAGAGTTCAATCTTAGCTTCCTTCGCTTTCTCAGGTTTCAATACAAGCACTCGCCTTAAACAACAACTTTGCAGCGTTGCATAACAAATAACTATTTTAAAGAAAAAAATAGAACAATGTATTTTTTATACCAATCAAATTTTTATCAGTTCGATCAGGCGCTCCGATCGTATGCACGCGCACGCTTCCGTATTTTGTATGCGTAGTGAAAATGGGTACGCCAGAAATTGACAATGAATGTTTTAAACAAAACATCTTCGAATATTAAGTCACAAGTTTCTTCTTAGAAATATAAATTTCTGGCGTCGCCATTTTCACTACGCATTCACAATAGGCCTGCGCGTGCCTATGATCGGAGCGCCTGATCGAATTAATCAATGAGGTGCTCCGATCCGATCAGCGCTAATTTATGGATGCTAAGTAGCCGATATTCGGCCAAGCCATAAAATACCTGATAATCAAGAAAAGCAATTTTGAGTTGTTTCGAAACTCCATTCCCCACAAAATCCCCAATTGAGTTTGTAATTCCCCAGACATTTTATTAAGTAACCTAACATCACCTTTTCCTATTTCAGAAATAGCCTAAATATCACCGAGTCGCCGATCACACTTTTTAATCGCCATGCGACCTCTCGAAGCAGCTTAAATGGCGAAAAATCGCCTACTCTGGCACCACTGGCGCCGATTGCATTTGTCGGCGGCGCGCATATCTACGTATGGGGGGTTTTCTCATCAGTCTCACTGGCAGGATTGTAATACCTTAAGGTCATAGACAGTAACGGCGCTTATCGTAAAATTACTGTACTATATGGATCTCAAAAAACCAACTACAGGCTTTACAGTGCCAATTTCCAAGTGCTTTCTAGTAGTTGCCGCCTACTGCTTTTCCATAGAAAACTATTAAGAGTTTAAAACCTCAAATGGCTTTGGTTGATTCTGCGTAACAGTGAAACTGTTGAATCAATCCCTTTGGAAAAAATATACAGTAAAATTGAAGATATACTCTGATTACTATACGATGTATAAGCACGATTCCTAAAAATATTCACTATAGAAAAAAAAAAGATCATCAAAATTTTACAAAATTTTAATTTAAAGAACCCCTGTATTCAATAGGTGCTTCACATATTATACCAATGATTATTTTTTATATCAACAGAACTAAATAGAACGCGTATTACATTTTTCAAATTGCTTTAATTGCGTTTGTAAAAAAAATAAAATAGTCTGAAATAAAGCCAGTGTCCCTGATGCCGACTCAAGCAAAATGCACTGTATTAGTACGGGAAAAATTTTAATTCGAGCTAAGGTAATATCAACGCTTAATAACGTATTGAATTCAAATCATTGAATTTTGTAAATTATATTAATTAGATTTACATAAATTTTATATTGAATCAATGTAAGCAATGCGGCAAGACAAATACTGACATTTTCGTGTGCGGTCCTTTTTAAGTCCTGTCCTTAAAAGGGGTTAATATTAGAATTCGAACAAGATATTGATATTATGAAATTAAGGACCTATGCAATAAACGTGATTAATAATATTGTGACGATTTAATGACACCAAAAAATACAAATAAAAACAGTTTAGTTATAGAGGACCTAGACTTTATAGCGACAGAGGTGGAGTAAATTCGCATCACTCGTTAACCGGCACATTACCGAATACTGTAAACGAATAGTTGAAGTAATTCATAATAATAATATAAGTAACGTAATACATTCATCGATATAAATGATTGTCTCTGATATTACTTGCGATTGCCGGCTCCCACCGATCGCCATTAAAGAGCAGTTTTTCTTTATTGTAAAGAAGTTCCTCGTGGGTTTCTGTAGAGTATTCGAAATTGGGTCCCTCAACTATGGCATCAACGGGACAGGCTTCCTGGCAGAACCCGCAGAAGATACATTTAGTGAGATCAATATCATAACGCGTGGCCCGTCGAGCACCATCGCAACGCACTTCTGCCTCGATTGTAATGGCCTGTGCCGGGCACACTGCCTCGCAAAGCTTACAAGCGATGCATCGTTCCTCACCAGAAGGATATCTACGCAAAGCATGTTCACCTCTGAATCGAGGTGACAGTGGCCCTTTTTCGAACGGATAATTCAACGTCGCCGGCTCTTTAAATATGTGGCCCAAAGTGACGCCCAAACCTGAAAGCGGTAATATTTTAGTGCACTTTAGAAGTAACTGATTGTACTGTTCGGTACAAATGTCATATTTGTAGAGTAAATTAAATCTAAATGCACGTTGAAAATTATTATACATATAGACAAAGTTATTTATATAACTGCAAGTTTCTATAATGCGGTTCTAAAATCACTGTTAAGCACTAAACCCCTCTACTAGATAGTAGATAATAGATAGCAGATGTCGTAAAGTAGTCTACACCACGCTGATGGAAGGATACGGCTTAGATGTCTCTAACATAAATACTATCTAAGTTACATAAATCTAGATTTTTTGCAAGTATTAAGTATCACATATTATACATAATATTTTCATTCACCATTTGAATTTCATTAATTCACTAACAAGCATCGCCAAACCGTAACGTGTACATTTTGTGTAGCGCAACAATTTATAAATACAATTTTGAAACATTACACTCTTTACTAGGGACTTTTCGGTGTTATAAAAGCCGTTTCCCTGTAGTAAACTGTTCTTTTTAATACCTTCTTGTCAATATGTTTAGGCATTATTTGCAAAAGGTAGTTAAGCGCAGGCCACACCGTGAGCGAAGCCATCTTAAGTTCGTAAAGCTTACGTAGCCGCGGTTTTCATGCATCTGTTCACACCGTGAATTAAGCTAACCGAGCTAACCCAACTATGTGGGCAACCTACCCAACGATCCCGCTAAGCTAAGTAAACTCTGTCACCCTTTTGCCTCGCTTCACCTCCGCACGTGTAGTGTTGTCATTAGAGGTGATCAATATAACGATAACAGATGATGTAATGCATTAGCTACTGCTTTGAACGAAAGACTAACGTCGAGTAGCAGCACTACGGCCTCGAATTTTCTTAGCTTTGCTTTGCATACTACATACATGCAGCATTACAGCTATGTAAGCTCAGTTGGCTTAGTTCGCAGAGTTGGTTGCATGCAGCTACGTGAACTAAACTAACTTAGTTTCGCTCGAGTTGTGGCCTGCGGTTCAGTACAAAGAAAACTAAGGTTCAGCCTTAGTCTAAGGTAACCTCGAAATATTTCAGTCCAAAAACAGATTTGCACAGCTCTATCAACGAAGTCCTTCACTGTAGTTCTCGGAGGTGTATCGTTTATGTAAATCCATTGAACTTCGTATTTATTCCTTGGGCAGTGGTAAAAAGGTGGACGAGCTATTGTCGGAGGTGAACTTTGTGTCGATGATGGTCCGTACGGTCCGCATGGAGGACACGGAGGGCACGGACGCTGGCAAGAAGGTGGTGGACACGGAGGGCATGGTTCTTCAGGAGGTAGCGGCACCTGTGGTGGACATGGCGGGAATTGTGCCCCGTAACTTCGTATCGCTGACTTTACGAGACACAAACTTATTAAACCTTTACTTCGCTCTAACAGGCGTCGTCCGTACATGTTCATTCAAGTCAACTCAAGTTTTGAAAATGTCGCCCATTCCTGTCAAAATTATTTTGTTTCAAATACAATGTATTGCAAAAGTTTATAAAGAAGTTAAATAGTAAGGAGATTTTATTACCTCAGTATTTTTAATATCTCGGACAATTGTATTCCTTAGACTATTATGGAAACCAAAGGACATGTTATATTGACATATATAAATCAGACGTTATATGTATATGATGCATTTTTTTTTTCCATCCTCTAAGATTTAGACGGTGAAACATAAACATTTTATTGTCTTTGTTTAACTACTGCGTGCCGTTGTAAGCCAAAAGGGATAATAGAGCACTACATTGATTTATGTCAAACACGGGAATCGAAAATACGTAACGTCATTTTAAATGCCAACTGTCCTCGTTTTGCCATTTTTGTAAGTACCCTTTGATAACCGTTTCCAATTGTCAAAGGGAAGTACATCAAATGTCAAAACCAATGTTTGGCCAAATTTTTTAGTGAGTTATTCGCATGAATTGTAATGAAATTGACAAAAATATTGACAGTGAGAACAATTAAGTATTTATAAAAATGCGTCGCTGCAGCATTATGGGGCGCGGCAGTAGAAAATCGGAAATCAACCGAATGTTACATTAGACGCCTTTGCAAAGGATGCGACAAGAATTGGCGTATGCAAATACTGTAAGTGCTTTCCCAGAGATCTGCTCGCCATGACTAAACCCCAAATGCTAGCCTCCTGGTCGGTCCTTTGGCAGGAATCACGACAAACTGTTGGTAGACACTATGGTAACCTCCAACCAAATCTACCCACTAAACCCTGGTTTTTTAAACGTCGCGATTTGCCTAAAAACATCACTTCCACTATTATTCGTTTGCGCTTAGGCCATGTTTGCACACCTGTATTTTTGCGTAAAATCAGAGTTCGAGACCACTCTCTGTGCGAGTGCGGCCTAGAAGACGGTACCTTGGAACACATTTTTTTCAATTGTCCTAATATTGCTGTTCCACTTTATAACTTACTTTCTCCAAAATTCCCCCGCCCCATTAACATAAACAACCTCTTAACTTTAGTGTTCTCCCCCCATATTGTTACTCTATGTAAATTTATCCACTTAAATAACATATATTTATAAATATTGTTTTGCTGTTTGGTCTTACATTCTCAACTGAGTACTCCCGTAGTCCAACTTACCAACACCGGTTAATGTCCTATTAGAGCTTAGCGAAATTTTTTTTTTTGTTTCGTTTTTTTTCTTTCAACTGTGACATTGGCAAAATCATCAGTTCTCATATTGATGGAGCCATAAAAATAAAAAGTGAAGTGAAGTACCCTTTGATAACCGTTTCCAATTGTCAAAGGGAAGTACATCAAATGTCAAAACCAATGTTTGGCCAAATTTTTTAGTGAGTTATTCGCATGAATTGTAATGAAATGGACAAAAATATTGACAGTGAGAACAATTAAGTATTTATAAAAATGCGTCGCTGCAGCATTATGGGGCGCGGCAGTAGAAAATCGGAAATCAACCGAATGTTACATTACACCGGCGTGTGTTATTTTTCTGCCTTTAAATCATAAAATAGCCGAAATATCTCATGTAATTAGACTCATTTAAGTAGTTTATTCATAAGTCTTGCCGAATTTTGTTTTGGTTACTTTAGATTGCCTGTTTGTTAGTATATTTTGATGATTGTTGATAACGATTATTTTGAGATAGTGTTGTTCTAGTAAACAGACATATCATCGATATTCTGTTATTGAAACAATTCACTACGAGGTTTTTATTATTATTATTTTTAAAGTTTACCTACAAATGAAAAAGAAAGAAAGACTGGTTGGAAATTGTAGAACTAGTGAACATAAGCATTGGTATATATATATATGTATACCACCTTCGCTTGTTTACCTTCGCTTGTTTGCTCCATTTTGAAGTCAAATTTTAATAGAACTTTGAATGTAACTAGATTACATGATAATGCATTTCCATCGTTACATTTTTTGGTAAATAACTTAATATTTAATTTTGATTAAAATGGTTCATTACTTGCCTAGTAATAATAGCCTAGTATTAATTATGCTTTGATTACAGTAAACTTTACAAATTTGCAAACATAAAAAACAGTTTCAACATTCAAGCCATACATTTGCATGTCGATATTGACTTATCTATGATTATGGTACAACACTAAATCCGCCATTTGTGGTACATTTTTGGTTTAGGTAGGTACGTCTATTCCGTAGATAGGGCAGCTCCTTTTCTTTATTTTTTTCCATCCTATCAGCTGTATTCCAATTTTTTCCATCCTCTAAGATATCAACGTGCGCAACATTGTCAATAAAAATTGTCTCTGACAAATGTCTAGACAGGTACACACATAAAGTTGTTTGAATATTTTAAGCAACTCTCCTTCATTCTTTTTCCATCCTTTAGGCTATTTATTTTTTTCCATCCTTTTAGCTATTTATGCATAATAGCACGTCCCGTTCGTATATTAATACTCATTTTTGAACGTGCGCGTTACGCGAGTGATATCTACTGCATTTCAATTTTGTAATTTATGCTCTGTAAATATACACTACCCAAAATATTATCAAGGCATTGGTTGATTTCATTATGATTTCATTTCATACTATAACATAACAGTATAATTTTATTAGATACGTAAGATACATAAACGTATGCTTACAAATACAGAGATTTAATTTATTATGTAGTAGGTATATTCTCTAAAGCGTAGTGTTTCATAGTAGGTACGTATTTCGATTCCTAAAATCCATTACCGGGTAAACATACAAGTTGCAATAGATATATTTCCTTCATCCAAATGAAAAGCGCGATTACATTGTTATCATTATTACAGTGAATTGAGTTCTGCTCTGTTTAAAAAAATGTATTTTTCCTGTTAGCGATTTCTTTAGCCACATTTTTTTACCTTTTTTTTTCTGATACCAAGTTATGGGACGAACAAAACTTGTGCCTGGTTTAGCAGTTACAGTGCCACTCAAAGCCTTAAATTAAATCGCAAACTAAGACATAAGTTGATAAGAACCATGTGCCTGTAATTTCACTAGCACCCTTGCCTCTAATACCGAAACGCTTTAATGCTCACGTTAGGTACTGCTTGGCGGTAGGAATAGGTAAGGTGACATTTTTTTATAACACCAAGTCACGGGACAAACAAGTCGTAGGCCTGGCAGTAAGCGACACGCCTATTCGTGACAGTTGCAGTGCCACTCAGAGCTTTAAAACGCAAAAGGGGCACTGCCACTGCGCCCGTCCCCCTGAGACGTAAGTTGACAAGTCACACGTGCCTGTAATTCCCTTTATTCTCATAAGGACAGATTCTCAATAGGACGGATTCTCAAGAAGACGGATTCTCATGAAGACAGATTCTCAAAAAAACCGGAAATTGTACAGGTGCACGCAAAAGTATTTGAAATACGCCTCGGTAACATAAGTTTACCGTATGTCTGCATGTTCCTTGCGCGTTGGTTACTTTTTGTATGGGCCTTTAAATAGTACTTTTTTTTGTCGTCGTGGCGATAATTGAGGATGCCTATCATTGAGGGATGCCTATTTCTAGCAGTGGACGTCTTTCGGCTGAAGTGATACTGATGATGATATCACAATATTTGGTCAAAATGTCAATCCACTGTTCCCAGGGTGTAAACAAACCGATACATCATAAATGGTTAATTTGTGCATTTATGATGCACGTGATCATTTTTTAAATTTATTTGAAATTATTAATTGATCCTTTTTTTCACAATACATAACATATAACGCATTATGGTGTGTCGGTTTGTTTCATCATCATCACACAGCCTGTATACGTCCCACTGCAGGGCACAGGCCTATGTATGGACCGTGGGTATCCATACACGATGCTTGTTGTTGACTCCCGGGGAATAGTGGATTGAAACAGCAGAGTAGGTATATGAGTAAATTGCAGTGGAAAGTGTAATCTCCTTGCTGTATAATTTGTTTTGTTACTGGTGATTTGATAAAACTAATTATTAAACATGTCATTGATTTGACATTGTCATGAAATATCTTGAATGTAAGCTAATTTTCCTATCTCTATGTAAAATCATTGATTTTTTTTTCAAAAATGGATAAAGCGGGCCCTAGTTCTGGAAAAATTAACATCGTGATAATTGAAGGAAATAAAGGTACGACTCAGTTTATGAGCTGTTAATTTTTATGAATATTCATTTACTGTGTCAGGACAGTTTTCCTATCGTCTCTGTTCCGTTTGGAGCTGTACAACATGTATTGATGGATAGAACTGGGGAGTAGTTCAGTTGTGATAGATCGGTTGACCGGACCATACCATACCTAAACTTTCATGTGGTAGTACAGTTAACCGGACAGACGATAATTCTTAGTGACCATGGGTACAGTCAAATCTATAGACAACCAAAAGTTTAGCTGTGGTCCTGTCAACCGGTATATCACGACTGAACCACGGAAAAGAAGCACCGAATGAAGTTTTTTACTTATTGTTATAGGTAAAGGCCGGTTATCGAATCAAGGAATGGTGCTTCTGCACGCTGGCCATAAATATAATTTTGTTAAAACAAATATGTGTGGTACAACTAATTGGCGATGCGTCAATAAAAACATTTGTAGCACTTCCATAACATTAACAGCTGATAATAAAGAAATTGTGAAAGAAGCTAAACATGTATGTTTACCAGATTATGAACGTAACAAAATTGATTTCACAATGTCATTAGCCAAACAAGAGGTTTGTCTTAATATGGCGCCTATACCTGAAATTTTTGAGAAACACTATTACAAACTTCATAAACAGGATTCTGATCATACATTTGGTCAGGGCGAAATGCTTTCCCCAGAGGAATTACCTACATTCAGTTCAAAAAAGGATACGCTGTATCGGGCACGCTATAAATTTTTAAATGTAAAAAAAAGTAAATTTTTGCGACCCCAAGATGTGCAGTTGCCAGACAGTTTAGTAAGTGATTTCTTTTTGTA